ACAGCAGCTCGATTTACCTCCAAAAAAAACTGCTGGAAGGACAACTTGTGTTGAAAAGCAACGTGGAGGTTTGGGCTCTGTGCAGTGAACCGAGCTGGTGAGGCAGACGTGTGACTGTCGTTAAACTCAAACCTGCCAGACGTGAACAGCCTCCCAGATGTCTGTTGGACGCTCAAACAGTTTTTGTGCCTCTCATCTGTTGTGGGTGTTTGTGTGTTTGTGGACTGATGAACAGTATTAGACAGTGTTACACGCACAATGTAAAACACACACTACACTTGTGTTGCATACGGACTTGGTGTCAACATTTCCCTCTCTCTTCTCTGACCAATGTGTTTCTTTTTGGATGAAATGTTTTTTATTTATTGAAATTGTTGGTACCCTGAAACACACACACACACACACACACACACACACACACACACACACACAGAAATACATACATTACACATTGTGATACAGCTGACATACACCATGACAGAACTACACACATGCTACATGTGGGCCAATGGATGATCAAGTTTTCGTCTCCCTGTCGTCAGCCTCAGTTTTGTCTCCTGTCCACATCTGTTGAATCTCTTCGTTGTTTTTGTATTTTCTATCATGAATGAACTGTGGTCAGACGTTCTGTCGATGACGCTCCTTCGTGATCTCGTGGTCGACTGAGTAGCATTGACAGTTCAAATATATCTCATCAATTAAAAAAGCATTATGAAAGTGATCTGGTTCTTGATTGATGCTTGGTCATTTTGTGTTTGTGATAAGCAGCGTTTTTTGGTATTCAACATTACCCACAATGCAACTTAGACAATTGCAGCAGAGGCAGCCTCAAGACCTTCACCTCCTGTTCACTTCCAAGCTGTGAGAGCGAGAAGGTACCGCTATTGAGAGTAAAGGTTTTCTGATACCAATATATCTGCTGATATGCATATTCACAAAATTGGCAATGATTCCCAAGATGTCATCATCAAGCTGTGATGACAAAGAAACTTAATTGAGGCTTCAACCATAAACTTGTAAAAAAGAAGGAAAAAAGAAATAATTAAATATTTAAAATTTAAAAAAAATTATTCTTATGCATCGTTTATTCTGTGAAATGAAAGTTTTCATATCATCAAACAAACATGACGAAAAGAAACTGTTCAGGAGTGTGCCGGTCCTGGTTTTTAATAACCTACAGCGCCACCATGAGGACAGAGGATCCAACAGGCGGAGGCCAGTGTGAGAACAGTCTATTTATCCAGCTAAATGATTAAATAAGTGTTGCCGTTGCCTGGAAAAAGTTGTTTCACTGACTTGGCACGAGCGAATTCCTTTAATTCTGCAGGTTATTAAACTCCATCTCCGTCTGCTATGGAGAAGAAAACGTTGCATTCCCTTCTGGTGAGTTGTTCTAGGTTGAATTGAACTCATGGGTTTCGTCTTGGTTGTGCGCTGGATTCAGTGATGCAGGTTGATTTCATCAGGGGTGATGTGCGTCGGTGTGCTCAGGGCCCGGAGCTTTGCCTCTTTATCCAAGCTTAATAGGCCAGATCAGCCTGTGAATCTGTCACCCGTCCTTTTGGATGACGGCCCCACGGGAGAACTAATCTCCCTCAGAACCTTGGGAAAATGGGAAATAACCCCGGAGCCGGCTAGCTGCGCTAACGAGATTTGGGAAAGCTGGTGGTGAGTGGGGGTCACATGCCCTCTCTCCCTTTATAGTTCCCAGATGCCAGGACTTCCTGTCGGGCCAATCAGGTAGCCGGCTCACATCCTGGGCAGGCAGTTGAAAGAGACACCGTGGTGGCTCTGAGCTGAACCCTCGACGCCCCTCAGACTCTCTGGTTCCTCCCTCGTCATATGTCCCACCAGCCGGTACCTGTCCCCGTCTACCTCGTCCGTTCAACTCTGCGCCTTCCATCCTGCCTCCCCCGTCTGTCTCACATGTCTCAGTCCATTCATTCATCGTCCTCTTTGTGTGACTCAAATGTGTGTCTGGCTGATTTGACTTTTTAAAAAGGAGTCGTGTGACTCCGGTTCACATGATTTGGAATCGAACCAGACTCCAGTCGTGAAGCGGTTGACTTCAGATTTGACAGAATCACCAGTGACTCATGACTTTAGCCTTTTGACTCGGAGCGACTTGAAGTCCTGCCTCAGCCCAAAGATTAAAAAGTGATGATATAACAGAAGTGCACCAAGAATCAACTGACATTATCAGTTGAGAATCATGTGACACGGAGGCCGGAATCAGTCAGATAGAATCTGGCCAATCCAGCGTGGACTCTTCTGTGCTCGTTAAAAAACAAATGTCAACAAACAAAAATGTGGCCTCTGTAATCGTCATCATCACAGGACGAAGAGAAGAAAGAAGAGGAAGTTGTTTTGCTTTTAAATGTATGTAAGTCCGTAGTATTTCTCCTCTGGGAACCATGACTAAGAACAGATTTCAGCAGTTTGTAAATGAGGGCCATGAAAGGGCCACAATTTACACAGAGAGGCCAATTAAACATCCAACATCCAACGTGTTCAATTCTTGACTCAGTAAGGTGCACATTGACTCGACTATCGACAAGTCAAGGGCCAGTGCCCCCCCAGGCGCACCACTGGATCAGCGCCTGGATTATGGGTTCAATCCATCTGATGTTTGTCGAGATCTTTCGTCGCGGCGAGTGGGCCAACGTTATCATCCCATAGATTTGTGTGAATAGAATCAAAAGCTTTCATTATCTCCGTTAAAGGGAGTTATCTTTTCACCCCTGTTCATTTCTTTGTTAGCAGGATTATGCAAAAACTACCAAACAGATTTCCATGAAACTCGGTGTGAGGATGTGATATGGGCCAAGAAAGAACATATTACATGTCGGTGCATATTCAGGAATTCATTTTCACATTCTTGTCCTTCCCTTCCTTCAGAAAACTAGTTTTGACCGTAGACTGTAAATAAAGATGGACGTCTCCACTCCATTCATTCCACTTGAGGAGCTGTCATGTCTTCCATCTTTAAATATGAAGTGAGTGCGCAGCAGGAAATTGATCTGTGTGGCTCAAAAATGAAAACTAAGAAATCCATTTTTTAAACTGACATCAGGTTTGTGCATGACATCTATTTAAGTTAACGTATAGCCACTTCTCGTGATTCATTCTGTCTGCTTCATGTTTACTCCTCCTCAGGAAAGACAAGAGCAGGCAGATGAGTTATGGACACAATCGTTCTCAATGTTCACGTTGTAAAAAATGATGAAAGCTTTGAAAAATAGAGGAAGAACCACGAGCAGCAGTTTGATTTCCATGTTCTGACTCTGAGCAGCAGTGAGGTGTTGAACCTTCGTCCCTGAGGATCAACACTAATGGAAAAGTCCTCGGTGCTACAGAATCCATCACCTCCTCCCGTCCACACATAAGCACTGAATCCGGTTTGAAATGAGCAATGTAACCTCACCTGACCTGCTCCACGTTGCTCTGCCTCCCCGTCACACACAGAAAACACTGTTACCCTTCAGTTGTCATTAAACCTAGTATTTAAATATAAAGTATTTGAATATAAAGACTCATTCTAGGGTAAAGAAAACAACAATTCATACAATTTAAGATCAAACACATAAGTGTAAACATCTCGAGGACTATTTTATATTCAATATCTGCCAATAGATCAGTTTCACCTAAATCTAACACACTGAACTGACCTGTCTCCAAAGTGCTGCTCTTTGTGAATATAAACAAACCTAATAATACACAATAATTGTAAAAGTAAATCGTTAAAGAGCCACCAGATCAGAATCAGAAGTACTTTATTAATCCCCGTAGGGAAATTCAAATGTTACAGAGCCCCTGAGAAAGAGGTGAAAGAGGACAGTCCCCTGAGGAGTCCGGTGTTGCTGACCACTCTGTCTGACATGCAGCACTGTAAACGTACATACTGCGGTAATCCACAATCCAGGACAGCAGCGGGGCATCCACCTGCATCGATGTCAGCTTCTCACCCAGTAGTGTCGGCCTGATGGTGTTGAACGCACTGGAGAAGTCAGAGAACATGACCCTCACAGTGCTTGCCGGCTTGTCCAGGTGGGCGTAGACTTGGTTGAGCAGGTAGATGATGGCGTCCTCCGCTCCCAGACGGTGCTGGTAGACGAACTGAAGGCGGTCCAGTAGTGGTCGGACCATGGGCCGGAGCTGCTGCAGGACGAGCTTCTCGAGGGTCTTCATGATGTGTGACGTCAGTGCCACGGGTCTGTCGTCCTCAGGGTCGCTGGATCGCGGCTTCTTTGGCACAGGGACGAGGCAAGACGTTTTCCACAGCACTGGAACCCTCTGGAGACTCAGGCTCATGTTGAAGATGTGCTAGAAGAACTCCACACAGCTGGGGGGCACAGGTTTTCAGGACCCTGGGGCTCACGTCATCTGGGCCTGCTGATTTTCCTGTGTGTAGTTCCTTCAGTTGTCTTCTCACGTGCTCAGCAGTGAAGGTGCATCCCTGGAAATGCTCTCAGACAGGGGATCTGCAGAGAAGGTGAGAATGAGGCCGTCTGTTGGGGGGGAGAGAGTGGAGTGAGCGGTGGCTGCCGTCCTGCAGAAGAGTCCGTTGGGGGATGGATCGGTGTCACTCCATCAAATCTGTTAAAGAACAGATTGAATTCATTCGCCCTGTCCACGCCACCATCGGCTCCTCTGGTGATGCACTCTGCCAGCCCGTCACCTGGAAGCAGCCCTGCAGTGTCTCATTATCTGTCCATGTGAACCAGGTTGTGATCCCACCTGCCCAGTGGGGGGAGGGGGGAAGAGCTGTATGCCTCTTAATGTATATAATGATGTATATATATCATGATTTGTCGCTCTACAAATAAAATTGAATTGAAAAGAAAACCTGCTAACAGGGAGAGAACCTGGCTCCATGTGCCTCGTCCGGTTGGTGCGTTCACTTGTCTGCATTAAAACCTCGTTACAAAGCAAACAAAGCTGTTTTCAGTTCCCCAGCAGCCCCTGAAGGCAGCAGCACACCTTCACCGGACCCCCTCCCCTCCCCACCTCCTCCTCCTCCTCCACCCTCCTCTCGCCCGGCCCACAAACCCCCCGCCCGGTGCCCGCAGCCCGGGGAGTAACGCAGCGAGAGAGCCGCCTTCCACCCGCCGTGCAGCATGGAGGAGTTAGCCAGAGAGAGCATCAGCCTGCTGGCTTCAGCCTCAGCCAAGCCCGCGCTGGACGTGTCCGCCGGGCCGCGGCTCGGCTCCGTGGGAGCCATCTTCATCATGCTGAAGTCCGCCCTGGGCGCCGGACTCCTCAACTTCCCCTGGGCCTTCGAGAGAGCCGGGAGCATCCGCAGCGCCGTCACCGTGGAGCTGGTGGGACTAAACTTTCTATTCAATTCAAATACAGACGCAAGAAAACACATGTGGACGATGCTCCTCGAGTTTAGCAAACTTTTTAAATTCCCAAACATTCTTGAAGTGTGTGTGTGTGTGTGTGTGTGAGTGTGTGTGTGTGTGTGTGTGTGTGTGTGTGTGTGTGTGTGTGTGTGTGTGTGTGTGTGTGTGTTATCTCCTCCAGGTCCACTGAGATCAATTAAGTAGATTCTGATCTGTTCCACCTGAAGAGGCCATGACACTCTATCACTTCTTCACTCTATCGGTCAGATCTATTTCCTCCTGCCTGACAGAATCCACATGTTTATCGTATTGAATCTTTTCTTTAACTCTTCCTGTGAGCGGCCCTCGACTCGTTGTTTGCAGCCTTTTTACCTCATTACTTCATCAGTTCAATTAACTTACTTCTCTGGTCTTAGTCAAAAGTTAGACTCCTCTTTTAAATCCCAGCACTTCGGCTCAGGTCGTCTCACGTGTGGGGGAGAAATTCTTCACTCCACATTATTTAAAAAACTTGTCCTCAGCACAAAACCACATTATCCTGTATCCTTCTTTATGTCCCTCTTGTATTTTTGGATAAATCACCTCGCAGTAGAAATAGTTTCCATTATCTGTTCCTCCTCTTCAACTCTTTGTGCCTTTGTTGTGTTTGTGTGTCCTCGCTCATCATTTGTCTTCCTGCAGACTTTTGACTAAATGCGGTTTGAATGTGTTATGACGTGCGTCGCCCACGTCCTCACTTTAACTGTCAGGTCGGACAGACTCGTTTTCTCACAGCTTGTTCTTTGGCTGTTTGGCCCTCGTTGATTCACTGTCACGTTTGATTTCAAAGATTAATGTGAAATCAAAACATTAGTAGTGAATCATCTCATCTTGAATCAAAGGACGTGTTTGTTTTTTCCTCTTTAACCGCTACAGGTAGGTGAAGCTGTTTGGAATGGGTTGTTTTCTCGTTGACGCTCGTTGCGGCTTTTCTTTTCGAAACTGTAAATCTGACCTGCAGTGATTGAGCTGCTGCTGCACCAGAGAGAGACGTTCACCTGTTGGTTCAAAGTTAATCAGTGTTGAACGAATCCAAATTCAACACTGCACTTCATTGGGCCCTGAACAACACGCACGTCAAGTGTGAAGCTGATCACATGAACGGTTCCTGAGATATTCCAGCCACATACAGACAGAGAGAGATTTCTGGAAATAGTAATCTGACATTTAAAAAAAATATTTCTTCTGATTCTGAAGCTTTATTGATTTTGTCTGGCCATTAGGGGGCACTGCTCTTCTAGAGAGTGGGGTCTCGTCTATTTTCTCTGCGTCACACTTCCTGTAGCTGTGTTAAAGTAAATTTTTACAATTGCTTTCATTTGTACGTCTGTCTTACAACTAATTTCAGACCTTTGTTGGCTGTTCAACAGATCTTGTGTTTCCATCTCCTCTGTTTAGGTTGTGTAGCTGTTTTTCTCACTGTCACTGAACTTTTCATCTGCCACTTGTTTCTCTGGACGACAGTAAATCACTGCTCATTATCAGCGTCTCACCTCAGACGACACTGACGTTAATCCGGACACATCAGCGATACAGAGGTTTCCTCCCGGTTCATGGGGATATCTGCGCGTCGCACCTCTGCTCCAACGTAAAGGTTTAATAGGGTTTGAAAGTTTTGACTGGAAAGTTCAGGAAGGTTCACGACAGTCGTCCTGATCCCTTTTTTATTATGTTCTGTTTATTATGACAGTTGTGGGAAACATAAGAAAAACCACGATCATAGGATTAACTTACTGTTGTTGATTCATCTGTATCCGCTCCCTCGTCTCAGGTTTTCCAGAGCATCAGGAAGAAAAGATATTTACTGTAAATTCACTTTTATTATATACTCCTCCAGCAACACTTTTCAGATAGTTTCCCTTCACCTGCCTTGTTTCCCTCACCGTCATTAGGTCCATTCACAACAGTTCTTCGTTAATTTAATCAAACACACTTGTCAAACTGAATTAAAGCCACAAATGACTCATCAATCCAGACATTCTATAACAAGACCTTAGAATAGCTAGAAGGGCACTCAAAGGGCACATACCTCCACCAAGGCTAACGCTCTGCCGTACAATGTTCTAGAAAGTGTACAAAAGAATCCTTCATCCACCCCTTTAATTAAATCTGCACCAAAAGTTTACGGGTTCTTCTTGAGCCCAGGTATAAAAAAATCAGGTAAGGGGTTTTTGCATAATTCCACCAATATGCAAACAGCAGTGAAAACATTGAACCTCTGTGTCGGAGGTCATAAAGAGAGATATCCAACAGTTCCAACAACAAACACTTGGCGGCAGTGGAGAGAAAATCTTCACTTTAAAGCGATAAAGTCAAAGCCTCAGGGTTTTTCCTCACAGACGTGAGTTCTTACCTTAAACTGCATCATCTGTATCTGTGAGCTTCTCTCTTCTTCCTCCGCTCAGGTTTCCCTCGTCTTCCTGATCAGTGGTCTCATCATCCTGGGCTACTCCTCCTCCATCAGCGGCCAGTGCACGTACCAGGCAGTGGTGAAGGAGGTGTGCGGCCCGGCCATCGGTCAACTGTGTGAGATCTGCTTTGTCTTCAACCTTTTCATGATCTCTGTGGCTTTTCTGGTCATCGTGGACGACCAGCTGGAGAAATGTGAGTTCAAGACAAACACCAGATACAGCTTCAGTACTTTTTATGGCAAATCTTATGCAGCTTCATCATTAGGATTAACTTTATTCAATAACATTGAAAGTTTTTTTTGCGAGCCCCACTCAGCTGTTTCTATAATTGAAATTCTGACCAAATTTAATTGATGGAACGTTTTAGTTTTTGCAGACACCCACTAGGAGGCGATCAAGATAATTTGGCTTCATTTTCAGGGAGCTGTCATGTCTTCCATCTTTATACACAAGTCAGTTTACATTTATTTACTTCCTGCACTAAATTTTGATTTACCTGATGGTGTTTGTTGTTTGTGTGTCTTTCAGTGTGCGGCTCCATGTATGAGCTGATAACTGGTTTGCCCGAGTCAGACTTACCGCACCACTTCTACACAGACCAGCGCTTTGCTCTGGTGATGCTCTGCGTCCTCCTCATCCTCCCGCTGTCCATCCCCAAAGAGATCAGCATCCAGAAATACATCAGGTCAGGTTTAAAACTACACTGCATGTCTACACACATGGACATTCTGCCACTAAATTCTACACACTGAACCTTTACCCCTTGACTAAGATGAGGAAAAACTAGCACCACCTGCAGTCCAAAATGTGAATTTTACACGTGTGATTCCATAATTAGGCAGATTCCCATTAAACTTCCTTGGTTCCCCATATGAAGATAAATTATTATGGTTCTACGACCACAAAACCTTTTTCTCATCTGAACAGACTTTCCTCCCATCGGTACCGTCCAAGCTTTTAAAACATTCAGTATGTTGTTGATTCTGCTCAGTTTTCTGTCACAGTGTTTTTTAAGGACACAGCGTTTGTCTGGTTTCTGTCTGAAGCAGATGATTTGTCTCTGTCCTCTCTCTCAGTGGTCTGGGCACTCTGGCTGCGACCTACCTGACTGTAGCCATCATCGTCAAATACCACACCATGCCTTCTGGTCTGGTTCACATCACCCCTCTCTACAGCAGCGGGTACGTACACCTGTGTGTGTGTGTGTGTGTGTGTGTGTGTGTGTGTGTACGTGTGTACTTGTACAAATGATGGAATCCAGGGCTCCAAACAGTGTGTTCGTTTCACTGGTCACGACTGCTCATGAAGTCAGAATTGGTCTTGAGAGTTGTTGTGTCTGACGGCAGATTCGCTCCATCAACAGCTCAGTGAATTATCAGTGTTATTTCACGTGTTTTCACTCCTTCACCTGTTTTATAAACTGTATTGTTCTCATGTTAGCCGCACTATTCTAAAAATATTAAATATACCCTCATATATGCTTTTTCGATGTATACGTTTAAAATAGATGTCGTGGGAAATATTCTTCTTCTTGTAGAGATTTAGAAAAAGATTGAAATCAATATGAAGCTGCAAACAGGAATTGTGGTTTTTAATTTTTACGAGGAAGACAAATCCTTTAAGCCAATGTCAGCTGAACATTTAAATAATCCATAATTGATAATCATTTTATCAACTGTTATTCGTTTTTGAAAGGTTTGGGACCGGACATACATCTGGATTATAGCTGTTTGGCTCTCAATTATCATTTATGATAATATCAAACTATTCATCTAAATGTTCTCATGTTATTTCCTGGTTTTAACAGATTCCTGTAAAATTCTTTCTCACAGACCAAAGAAACCTTTCTTATAAATAAAAGACGTTTGCTGTGAGTAAATAAACAGACGCAAAGTGAAAACCTCAGTTGTCTGGATAAAAGTGAAGCAATAATAAAACACTGAACAGTGTAAATAGGATTTTGTGTCTTTTTAAAAAGTAGTTTTTTAACTTTCAGGTCATCTTTTGTTTTTTCTGTGTCATAAATCACTCAATCGAGCCAGTCCTTGTTATGAGGTTGCTTTTAGGAAATATGGCCGTCGTGAGTCTCGTCCATAAATCTGCAGTGAATCCCGGCCGCCAGGACAGACGCTGTAGATCAAACCTCGGTCCTCTCTCTCGCTCTGAATGACCCACCTCGCACTTGTCAGCCCTCGTGCATGTGACTGACAGATGAACGCTGTGCTAAAGTGACTCTAAATGCCACGACATTATGGATGGTGCCCTAATAACAGCGTTTTTTTCTTGTGGCATTTGTGAACCTGGGAGAATGACTGCGGTGTGTGTCTCCTCGTGTCTGTGCAGGATCAGCTCCTGGGCCTCCATGTTCAGCGTCATACCCACCATCTGCTTCGGCTTCCAAGTGAGTGAAGCAACATGTTCTGTTTTCACATAGGAACGTTCGAGACCTGGTGAACATACGTAACTGAGACCAGTCAGGAGAAAAGTCATGGCATCACTATCTTATCATTATCTCATTCTCCTCTTGCTTCGTTAAGTTGTCAGATCCGTCTCTGAGATTTCTGCCTTTGCTCCAAAATAATCAGACTTAAATGGAATTTCATGTTTGAAAGTACACTTAAATTTGTTCTTGGGCTGGACAATATTTTATCTTAATATCGGTCAACATCGATATTTTTTACAATAAATGTCACATTTGTATTTATTTTCAGTTTAACGACTGAATTTTGCTCCTGAGTGAAGGTTTTAAATTTTACATTCACATTTAATGTTGATCAATTGTGTGTTGTTCGCTCACAATGCAAAAGAAATAAATCAATATACGTATATATTGGACCTTTCCTCTTTTGCTATTGTTGAAAATGATCTAATAATCACTGGTATTGTTTCATTGTCCAGTATACTATCATGTACAAAGGTTGGCAGGAAATGACTGATTCTTCATTTCAATTACAAGATATTTTGGATG